TTGCGCTAGAGTCTAATCCAATCTGATTAGTGTTCTCATAAGAAAAAAGACTTGACACTTGGAGAGATACCCAGGGTGCCTGCACAGAGGAAAGACCATGTGAAAAAAACAAAGAGCAAGAAGGCTGCCATCTGCAAGCTAGAGAGGCCTCAGAAGAAACCAAACCTGCTGACACCTTGGTGCTGGACTTTCAGTCTCCAGAACTGTCAGGAAATAATTTTCTGTTGTTTATGCACTGCTCCCCCACCCCCAGTCTGCAGTATTTGGTTATGGTGACCCTAGCAAATAAATATATCTCATAAAGCAAATTCTTTGTTCAATATTGACTTGATAGTTCAATTCAGAAGCTGATGTAAAAATTATTTGTGATGATACAATTGATTTTTTAGTGTCTTGAACTTTGGAATTAAATATAGGAATAATCCCTAAATTTATTAACTATTTTAAATATTTTCAATAACTATTTTAAAAATAAAATTTATCTTTATTGTTGAAAGTATTACAGATATCTCCCCTTTTATTCTCCATTGATCCCCTCCACCCTGTATCTGCCCCCCCACCCAGGCCTTCCCCACACTATTGTCTGTGCCCATGGGTTATGCATATATGCGTATAAACTCTTTGATTAATCTCTCCCTACCCACTCCCTAACCCCCACCTTCCTACTGTGAGTCTTCAGTCTGTTCCATGCTTCTGTGTCTCTGGATCTATTTTGTTCCTCAGTCTATTTTGTTTATTAGATTCCACATATGAGTGACATCATGTAAAACTGAGTCAGGGAGAATCAGAAAACCTGAATAGGCTAATAACAACTGATGAAACAGAAGCAGTAATAAAAAAACCTCCTAGCAAACAAAAGCCCTGGTTCGGTAATTTCTAATTCTTTAAGTTGTAGGGTTAGATAGTTTACTAAAAACTTTGCATGCTTTTTGAGGTAGGCCTCCAGTGATGTGAACTTCTCTCTTACGGCTACTTTTGCTGTGTCCCATAGATTTTGTGTTGTTGTGTATTCATTTTCATCTGTTTCCAGGAAGTTTTTGATTTCTTTCTTGATCTTATTGGTAACCCATTCATTGTTTAATAACATACTATTTAGCATGGTGATGTGTTTGAATGTCTTTGAGTGTTTTTACTGTAGTTGATTTCTAATTACATGTGATCTAAGATGCTTGATATGATTTCTACCTTCTTGAACTTGTAGAAACTGATTTTGTGTCCTAACATGTGTTCTGTCTTTGAACATGACCCATGTGCACTTGAGAGGAATGTATATTCTGCAGCTTTGGGATGAAATGTTCTGTAAATATCAATTAAATCCATCTGATCTAGTGTGCCATTTAGTCACTGTTTCTGTGTTGACTTTGATCTAGTCAGTGAAGTCGGTGAGGTGTTCAGGTCCCCGACTATGACTGTATAGTTGTTGATCTCTCCCTTAAGGTCCTTAAGGTTATTATTGATAGTTCCTTATTTATTGCCATTTTAATTCTTTATGCCTATGTTTCTCTCTCTATTTCTTCTTATTACAGCAGTCCCTTTAATATTTATTGCAATGCTTCTATTTCTACTTCTAATTACAACAGTCCCANTTTATTGCAATGCTTCTATTTCTACTTCTAATTACAACAGTCCCATTAACATTTCCTGCAATGCTGGTTTGGTGGTAATAAACTCCTTTAGCCTTTTTTTGTATGGGAAGCTCTTTATTTCACATCTATTTTGAATGATAGCCTTGCTGGATAGAGTAGTCTTGGTTTCAGATCCTTGTTTTGCATTACCTTAAATACTTCATGTCATTCCCTTCTCGCCTGTAGAGTTTCTGATGGGAAGTCAACTAACAGCCTTATGGGAGCTCCTTTGTAGGTAAAAGATTGCTTTTCTCTTGCTGCCTTTAAGATTCTCTCTTTGTCTTGAATTTTTGGCATTTTCATTATGATATGTCTGGATGTGGGCCTCTTAGGATTCTTTTTGCTTGGGACTCTCTGTGCCTCCTGAACTTTTGTGACTTTTTCCTTGACCAGATTAGGGAAGTTTTCTGCCATTATTTCTTCAAACAGGTTCTCTAACCCTTGCTTACTTTAGACCTCCTCTGGCACTCCTGTGATGCAAATGTTGTTATATTTCATGTTGTCTCACAGCTCTCTTAGACTGTCCACCTGCTTTTTAATTGTTTTTTCTATTTGGATCTCTGATGGAGTGATTTTTTTTCTACCCTGTCTTCTAATTCACTGATCTGATCTTCAGCTTCCTCTAACCTGCTGTTTATTCCTTCCAATGTATTCTTTATTTCTGCTATGTCGTTCTTCATTTCCTTCATACTTTCCATATCTTTTTTTCATGCTGTTGAGCATCCTTACAATCACTATTCTAAACTCTATATCTGAGAGGTTGCTTATCTTTGTTTCATTTAGCACTTTTTCTGGAGACTTTTCTTGCTCTTTCATTTGGGGCTTATTTTTTTTGTCTCCCCATTTTTACTGCCTATTTGGGTTTGTTTCTATGTATTAGGAAGGCCTGCTAGGACTCTCAGTTTTTTTGGACAGTCTCTGGTGCAGGCCAATGTCACACCTGTTTGTGACTGGCCTTGAGTATCTTGTTTGGAGCTATGAACAACCCACAGCTTGAGGTCCCCTCTTTTGGGGCTGGTGCATTTGGACAGGACCAAGATGCACACCAAAGTCTGCTTTTCCAAGGCTTGGGTCCAGAAGCATATCAGGCGAAGACTCAAAGCACTCTGAAGTCTGCTTCTGCCTGCAGGCTGATTAATCTGATTCTCTTAATGAGCCTGGGGCTGTAGAAACTCCACAGGGTGTGGAGGCTGATTGTTATCAGTCTCTTAATGAGCCTCAGGCTTCAGAAACTTCCAGCAGGGTGGGGCAATTGCTTCCCCCTCAGGCAAAAGCTGCTCGGAAGGAAAATGTCTGCCTCTGCAGTATGGGGGAATGACTTGGCATAGGAATCCAGAGGGGTGCCCTCTGAGCTGTATCTCCAGAGCTCACAACCTTAGATTCTTCTCCCACAGCTCCAGTCCACTTTGCCCTCCCCATGCTGGATCCCAAGGTGAGTGGCTGCACATGAAACTTTGTGCATTGGCTCTTTGAGAGGGTGCCTGCATTTCCAGCTGTCTCTCCTTGCAGATGGAAACCCGGCTTCTCACAGCCAGATGCTATGTGGGCACCTTTCTCAGTTCTGGTGCTTTTGGCTGGGAAGCCCAGCCTGGGGTTTAGGCCCCAGGGTCCTCAATAGGAGCCCCCCACAGCAGAGATATCCCTCTGGACCTTCAGCTGCTGCCTGTGGGAGCCCAGCCAACCCTCTCATGCCTCTGCACTTCCTACCAGTCCCTATGTAGTCTCCACTTTTCCTCCTCAGTTATGAGGGTGCTCTGCTCTCCAGCTTGTCTTCAGTTGCAGTTGATTATTCAGGATGGTTTTTCTATATTTAGTTGTAATTCCAGCTTGGTCCCAGGAGAGTGTCAGTGTAGCTTCCACTCAGTCCGACACCATCTTTAATCTCCTCAATAACTATACTAAAAATATTTAAAATAACTAAAACATTTTTAAAAACTGGCATATTAGAGGACAGACTATCTAATAGGTAAGACTTACTATTCAAATTTTAAATGTGATATTTGAATCATTAGACATGATTTAAAATTGATATTTTATAAATTTATAAAGCATATTGAAACTTTTAGGAGCACATGAGCTATTATATTTATAAGTTTACTTATATTTATGGCTTATTTAAATATATATGAAAGCTTATTAATTAATTAAAATTTTATGCCTGTTGGTATCATTATTTATTTTGATGCCCAAACTGTCCCAGGTTTGATTGGTGGGAACCCTTTCAAGCTGCATTCTATATCTTTTTGATAAATCCCTACATTTTTTTGAGAACGTCTTTGCTTTTTGACACACAATAGATATTTCTGACTCTCATGTTCCTTGCCTCAGCCCTGGAATCAGTAATCTCCCCAAGGATCTCTGTTTCCTTTTGGTAGAAACGGTGCTGAGAAACTGAGATTTGGGTGCTAGGTGTGCTCATTGATACCGGGTGTTGCTCCCGTAGGCATTCTCAGTGGACAGAGGGAGGGAATATGTATGTATACACACATTAACATATGTCCTGTATCTGTATGTTGAAAATGATGAGACCACATCAATACATCCAATTCTAATTTAATACCACTCTACTCACCCCAAATGGGATCTGACACCTTTTGCCAGACCATCACGTCCCCCATAAATACACTCTTCTTATCTCATTGAAAGTCTGAGCAATCTGCTCTGGGCTCTCCCTCCCCCCCTACACTGAGCAGACTTTCACCTTGTTTGATCCTACCTGATTGCCTGAATACTGGATTGTGTAGACAGGGAAGGGGAGAGAATGGGAAGAAGAGGAGAACCAAAGATTAACTTAAATCACAGATGGACTCTGAATGACATATCTTCTCCATGTAAACCATCTGCAGGATTACATTAGGAAAATGTGCTCTTTTCTCTTATGAAGTCCTTGTCTCTCTGCAATTTTCTGGTTTCCTTTAGATTTCTTTTTTCTCAGCTTCCATGTCCAGGTACTAAAACACATCTAACACTTTCATTTTATACATCATCTCATGGGATATTTCAGATTTCATTTACTCATTTACTGTTATTGAAAACCCTGTATTTATATTTCTTTGTGTCTGTCCCAGTGTATGACCCTTCCTTATCAATATTCAATGATTTTATGCCACATGGCATAAGGTTTGGTCCATTAAATTTGGCAATAGTTGGACCTGAAACGTTTTTATTTTGGAAAATATGAGCTACAAAATGTGTCACTAATTACTGTATCCTTGAAGTAGCTACAAGAATTTCTCCCATGAAGTGTTGCAATCAGTCTCAGTGCTCAGGAAAAAAAAAAATTAGAAAAACCTCAAAATATGTTAACAGGCTATCTGTACAATAAAAAAAAAACACAAAAAACAACAACAAAAAAACAGTTGAGGTTACAGTTTCCTTTCTAATTTCTTTATTAACTTTTAATATTCTAAATTGCCTTCCAGCTATAGGGCTTATTTATTATTCTAATTTGTTTCTGGTTACAGGTTTCATTCTAATTTAGCAAACAATTAGGGAACCATCTAACATGTTGGTAGTTAAGTCTTTCTTCTGGAAATGTGGTCATAAATTACAGCTTGTATGTAGAGTTCTGTCTGGATAGGAATTCTAGTAGAGTTGTCACCTGGTTGAGCCTAAAATACATAAATCATATTGTTAGTCAGTCCAGACCAGACAAATACTTGGTATTAAATACATTTTCTTGTTTCAGTATTATAGCAAACAGACCTAAAAAGGCTGTGGCAATGGAGACCTTTCCATGTTTCCCCCCAGATTCATTTTCTGAGGATTGGTGATAATTCCAATCAGGAGCTTTCAGGCCCTGGGTTGTGACATTGCTGAAAACATCTAGGATCAAAGCAGTGTCCCCAGGCTCATGGTTGTCTAGACTCTGCTGAACCACATGGGTCACTAATTCTGCAGAATTCCCAGGAAGAGCTTTGCAAACACATGTGATCACAGGTTAACAAATAAAAAAGAATCCTATTTTGATTTCAAGTAATAAGAATGTCTCAAGTTTGGAATTGATTCAGACTCATAGAAGTAACCTGTCCATAGTAGATTTCATGAAAAGCTCCTTATCACTTTAAAAACCATTGATATGCTTTTTCTCCCCTTCAAATTATAATCTGTGAAAAAAGATCTGTTCCTTCTACATTGATTCAGGATAGTCTGTCATACTTAAGGCCTCAGAGGGAGCTCCTGTGGAAACAAATATTCACTGGTGTGGTATTGATAAGACAGAAGAGAGAGGTACTAAAAGAGTTAGTATCTACAATTGGAAAATTATTAGTCATTGGGCCTTTGCTATATTGGATGCACAAGAGAATAATCTTACTTGCTTTCTCTTCTCTGTCAAAAGAGATGGTAAGAAATTTAGATTTGGTACTAGAGAGAAGCTTTGGTATTGTCTTTTCCCCCTAGTACTTAATTTCTTGTGCTAGCTGAGGAAGAATATATTAGATGCATCTTTTATTAAATAAGTCAGTAAAATTGTAAAGACTTTGAAATGGGTTAAACAAAAAGAGTGAGTGTCCTGAGTGGCTCACCCATCCAAGTCTTTTCTGCCTTTCACAGCTTTTGTGTTATTTTCCAACTCTAAGTTGTAGAAAACTGACAATAAGGCAAAATATTCTTGTCTGCAAAGATGCAAATGAATTATGCCTACTGGAATGCAATTAATTATTGCTCTGTATTGGGACCTGCTTTGCAACTATTTGTAAGTTAATTTCAAATTTTTTATTCTTCATATGTGTTATGTTTTTTGAATTCTCCTTTGAAATGTTTGTAATATCTTACTGGTTCTCTCCATAATTAATAAATTAAATAGAATCTTTGGCATATTCATTTTATATCTGTATGAGAATCAAAATTACATCCTTTTAAGAGAAATTATCTTGCAAACATTTTGGAAGCTCCACTGTGATGCCCAATGGATTCCCCAATAGCTCCGTAGCCTGTGTTGCTGGGGGAGTGTTGCACCTCGTGGATGACTTCAGCCCAGGCATTTCTTTTCTTGAGTCCAAGAGGTAAATTCCCAGGAGCAACAGAACTTCTGCTTTACTGATCCTCTGATTCTTTACATATTTTCCTTTTTACTATTTTTGTGTTTTGTTTTTGGAACTTTTATAATCGATAAATTATTCCCCATTGGTGACAGCAATGATTCGGAATTTGCTTTTATGGCCTAACCTTTGTGTTCTCTGTAAAGGAATTAATACGTCATAGAGATTTATTCTTTCTTGGGTGAGAGACAACAGAGAATATGATTTGTTAGTGTTTTCTTTTCTTTGTTTATTTGTCTACTTGTCTATGGGAGCTCAAATTATGAATCTCGGTGCCCACTAGGAAAGAGAACAACTTTTTGCCAAATGGAGTGTTAAATATTTGTGTTGACTTTTGACCAGCGGCTAATGTTTAGATCTGAAGCCATAAGCTCTCTGTGTGACCCTCTCTGTCTCTGTCTCTGTCTCTGTCTCTGTCTCTGTCTCTGTCTCTGTCTCTGTCTCTGTCTCTGTCTCTGTCTCTGTGTGTGTGTGGACATTTCCAGGCCTTTTTTTGTTTTGTTGTTTCTCAGAATCCTTGTACAATCTTGGGACTTACCAAGGTCCCTACAGAACATGTGGTACAACAACCAATATGATAGCCAAAGGTTTTCTACCTTTTATACATAGAATACTTAAAATTTAATGGGGGGGGAAAAAAACACCTACTAAAACTCTGTAGAAAAGTGTGTAGAGGACAATAATTACAGAAGAAGAAATATCATATACTAACATGCATATGAAAGAAATGTTTATCCCTAATAGTATTAAACATGCAAATTAAAGTGATGCCAAATAAATTTGGACTATAAAGTGAACAACATTCAAAAAGTATGCACAGTAAGTTGGGCATGGTGAACAGGCAGTCTTATTTCAAATCGTAAATTGATATGGTGTGACTGCAAAGTAACTTGACAATATCTTTCTAAAGTTTATATCTTCTAGCTGAGCAATTTATATTTTAGGAATTCACCTTAAAGAAAAAAAACCCTGAAACTTGGTTATAGAGAGTTATTTAAACTTGGACAGAAAAACAAAACCAACCTAAATATCCATCAATTGGAAATTCTCATATAAATTATGATTACTTCCTAGGATAGAGTATTATTTACACTGTTATACAGCTAACTTTTCTCCCTGAATAGTACATACTAAACACCTATTCTTAGTATTATACCAACTTTAGTAAATACAGCTTGAACTCATTTTTATTTATTTATTTATTTTTTATTTAAAAAAAATTTTTTTTTTACTATATCTTTATTGATTTCAGAGAGAGGAAAGGCGAGGGAGAGAGAGAGAGAAACATCAATGATGAGAGAGTCACTGATCGAGCCCGCAACACGGGCATGTGCCCTGACCAGGAATTGAACCCTGATCGACGCTCAACCTAGGTGGATGCTCAACCGCTGAGCCACGCCCGGCCAGGCTTGAACTCATTTTTAAAATTGCTGCAGACTATTTCTCTGTGTGGATGTATCATAATTTACTTTATCATTGCCCGCTCATGGACATATAGATAATTTCCAGGTTTTAACTACTGCAATGAAAAATGACATCCTTTTAGAACTTTCATTGTTTCCAAGTTGATAGACTACCAAGAACCAATATTCATTCATTGAATACCTGGTTCAGTGGCACATTAAACAAATTCTCCCATTTAATCTTCACAACAGCCTTTCATAAAATGGTTGTTTTTACAGATTTTACAGATGAGAAGTGGAGAAGTGTTCAGAGGGGTTCAGGAATTTCTTTAATCACAAAACCCCTAAGATCTATTTAACTCGAATTCATTTTACCTACTGTCCCTCTTAACCAGCTTTTCTCTGCCTGAGTCCTGGTGGCTATTTTGACCCTTTGTTCCTTGGCCTGTTGCTCTTCTAGCCCCTTCCAGCTGCTCCCAGGTATTTTAGGGAGTCCTTAGGTCTTCAGTTCTACAGTGGAATTCATTAAGAGATTTAAGCATGCCTCTGAATGTCCTAAAACATTGTTATACTACTCTGTGTGCATTTTCTTTTTTGAGCAGATCCATGAAACATCAGATTTTTTAAAGCAAGCTGTATTTTCCAAAAGGTTAAGATCCTACCCTCCGGCACAGCTGCATGTGCTCATGGGGTAGTTTTCCAGGCTCCCAAGTTGGTACTGCCATTGTTTGTTTTATTGTGATTTTTTGCTACAGCTATTTGAGGCAATATTCATTGCTGAGGCCACCAAGGTTTATACTGAAGATATACAGCCAGCAGTAACCACTTAAACGTTGTCAACATGAGATTTTCCTCTCTTGCCGCTGGCCTTGATCACTGATCCTGCTATGACGTTCCGTGTTCCAGTGCCCTTCAATATCCCTCCCCTTGCTTTGGGATTTCAGTGTCTTAGAAAATGTAAGCATCTGCTGGGGCGGTGAATGGTTAGGAAGGAATCATGGGAGAGGACTTCTTGGTCAACTGTCAAGGCCCAGGAGAAATGATGCTCTCTTTGAATTAGAAAGAGTCCCTTAACTCTGGTCTTGCATGTGCAGTGACTCCCTGCTGACTCCTGTGTTTTTTTTAGTGTCTGCTTCTTTGTCATTAGTTATTAGGTCTTTGGAGTCATGGAGGAAACAATTATTTTGTGTTTTTTAATCTTCAATTTTTTTCTTTTAATTAAATTTATTGGGTAACAATGTTAATAACATTATACAAGCTTCAGGTGTACAACTTTATAATTCAACATTTGTATGCACCATTGTTCTTATTCAGTCATTTCATCCAGCTAGGAAACGAGCCTTCCGTTGTCTTCCATTCTCCTTGTTCTGATCTGTGCTGAAAATTCATGTGGAAAAACGAGCTTGAACTGGGGCTACGCCCTCTTCCTCAGATTCTTCCATCCTCATTTCCCTGGGCTGTACTGGTCCCTTTTAGCTTTGGCATAATGTTTGATTAGGTTGCCCTTCTAATTAGAAGCATAAAGCAGTAATTTTTCTCTGTCATGAATGTATTATTGAAATATGTACTTTCCTTTTTACTGCAGAGATTCAACTTGGATGGTGAAGGGTTATCATTTATACTCTTTATTACCAAACATTGACATACATGAAATAATTCAAACTTACATATTTATTTTCCTTCCTCCAGCTCACCTTTTGGGTGCCACACTTCATATATGAGCTCCCACACTGGACACTTAACAGCAATGTACTTATCTCTAGGGATTGTTCCATACTACTGCGTATAAAATTAAAATCAGTTTTCCAGGTCAGGAGGAGGGCATAGCATTTAAGGTTTAGGAGTTTTAATTCATAAAAGCCAAGCTCTGTTATGTAATTGTCGATGTACTCCTGGAGGCCATTGACTTGAGCAGCAGTTAGCTGAGTAAATACTTCATTTACATGCGGTGGGCTTTCAGTTCAGGTATCCCAGGTGATTGCCCAGGGGAGAAAATGTTTAAAAGCTTCTTAGCATGTGGGTGTTTTAGGACTATAATCAACCAAACATTCAGTAATTTGGGCAGCAAAACCAGAAAGTTGGCAAGGCCTCTGCTTTCTTAATAACTGTGACTATGGCCCAGTTAAAGAGCAGTGTTTACGAGGGTCTTGGAGGAAAACCCAGGAG